CACTAATGATGAAATGCTGCACTTTAAGCCGGACATATCAAGAAGCCGGTACGCTAGTTGCAGGGGGAAATTGCGTGGCATTTAAGACACAACCAACAACGTCAATAGCGCCGTTGCTTGCATTTGAACCACGATCATGGACTCTCCTGGAAATCCCTTCAGCCTTGGGGATGTATGGCAGATGGGAACTATGTGGATAAGCCAGCATGAATCTTTTCTTCGTGAGACAGTCTAAGCCCGGCCGACGCTGGGTGAGCTGGGCGTATGACGAGCCAATGGGTTATGGTACCGGGCTTCAACGTTTCACGAATTCATTGTTTTGCTGACGCGACTTCTTCTCGATCATGGAGACTTCCGTCGACTTTCTATGTATTATACGACACGATATCCGTGGCCCAATTCTATATCCCAGTTTTATCCTGAGTTAAATATGGAGAAGAAGAAAACAAGAAAGTATCCTGGAATAAGCCAACAAGGGGACTTCCCCGTCGTCTACTAGTTGCTGAAATACTCTTGACCAGGAGTTGGTCATTTTTGTCATTGACGATTGATGCAAGGTAGGTAGGTAATGATTGGCAACTATAGTAGGATGCTCAATATCAGAGTGTAGTTCTGCGCTTCACCATTGACCGTGAATAGACATACATAAACAAAAGTCGTCATTCAGATATAGTTCATCAATATGTGCTAATAATGGCCCCTTGGTGTTTTCATATGACCAAGGCATTGTTGTAATCTCTATTCAATACGCGCACAGTATATCCATAGGTTGTCTAGACTAAAGAGAAATACTGGAGTTCTTGTGGAGATAAGGGTTCAATGCTTGATTCTGCTTGGCATTTATTGACTCACAGCTACCTCTGTCATTGACTGAGACTCGACATTCGTCTGTTCTATTGCGTTCGAGCACCAGATATAATAGTACAAGGCAATAACAGCCCGGGGCCTTCGGATATTGGATCTCAAAGAGAGTTGAGTTAGTCAATTAATTGGCTGCGTCGCTTGCGCCGTTCCCGCCCTGGCCGTGACCCTTTCCATTCCATTCCCTTCTCAAGACCCCTGGAGCTTTGGGCTCTGGCTTGCCGAGTTACGGGCTTGGGGTTGCGGGCACAGGGGGGCCGCTCCCCACCACGATCCACGACAGCCGAGCAGCATCCGCTGTAGGCCCCAAATCAGCGAGACACGAGCAGAAAATTCCACATGATATGAGCCTGTTGCTGCCTGTATTCATGGATGGGAGGATCTTTTACTCCTCCACTGTAACCTTGACCTTGACCATGCCATGACCATGACCATGCTCCTCTTGCTTTCGTGATGTGATTTCCTTTCCCATTTTAGATATCACTCGATTTTTCTTCATCTTTTTCAAACATGCCCTTGTTCCTCGCTGACGTCGTTGATCTACAGGAGGACCCGAGTCGACGATCTCATGAGCAAGAACTCGGGCTTCACGACGTCTCTTCACTTGCAGAACCAGGGCAAAACTTGGAAAGAAGCCGAGATCCAGGCATTGAAATAACTCAATCAATTATTGTGAACGCCGCCTCTCGCACTGTGCATGTATGCAACCTAATCGGGTACTAGGAAATTCATCGACACAGAAACTCAAACCTGATCGGGTCAAGTTCAGGTACGCGGCTCGTCAGTTGAAAATCATCACTCTTTTGAAAAAAATCAGAGCGAGTGGGAGGGCCCTCCCTTTTCCTTCTTAGCCCCTGTCCACCGAGTGGATCAGGATGGTCTCTTTTAGATCAAAGCTTGGCCAATGCTTCTTATTAGGGGCCCAACCGTGGAGAGACAAGATACCTATGTGAGGTTCGTACGGACTTTAGGGATGACTGTGGCACAAGGAGGAGGTTAATGGATACTCTGGGTGTTTTGAAGTTATTTCCATCTCGTGTTCTTGGACGTGTTAGTGAGAATGACCATCGATGCCCAAGGCCTCGGAATTCAAACGGCTTCGTTGCTATCGAGGAACCACAAGGCAATATGCTCATCGGTTTACGCAGCAGCTCGTGTACTGTACGAGTGAATATCTGTTGTGTACCGTGCCACGCCAACTTTGCTCTCCCGTTATTACACGGAGTACGGACAGGGCTGGGACGGATGGAATACCTCAAGCCTTAAGGTTAAGAAACTAGGCGGAGCACGGCAAAGCAAGGGAGGCAATATGGCCGATGTGGATGGATGAATCATGGCTGAGCTCATGATGCATTTGTTGCTGACAGCTATTTACAGCCAAACTTTCCGCAACCGTTTGCAGAGTGTCCGTCCAATGCTGATTCTCGACTTATTTCGAGCTGGGGAGCCACAGTTTTCGCAGAAGGCTGGGCTCCCCCGTCGCGGCTCCATCGTCTCACGCCACCAACTGCTGAGATGATCGCCTTGAGCGTTGAGACGTGGTCGATCACACACAGTTGTTGGGTTACAGTTACTATTATTGCAGGCACACAAAAATCGAGGGCCATCACCCGATCCAACATCAACTCAAAGCTTGTTCTTGACCGGTTTGTCACAGCCCCTCTCTTTCTTTCTTCGAGTTTCCCTGTATTACTTCGTATAGATGTTGAGATTCTCCACAGAACTGGGGACTGTGATTGCGATTTGCGATTGTCGTGTCGTTGTTTTTGTTGTCGGCTTCAAGAAGCGCGTATTTGGTTGGAGTTTTGCTCAAGATCAGTCAGCAAACAATCTCACAAATGTGCAATTATTAACCGTGCAGCCCTAGGTTGCCTCGCTCTTTTCTTTTTCCCCCATTCGTCATCTATTGACTTGCTGGCCCAGATAAGGGTAATAATATGGGATCGAAATCTGAATGTTTCGTCATCAACGTCAATCTTTGTCTCTGTCAGAGGAGAACCTTGAGCAAGATAAAGATCATGGCCTTGCGGGACTGGGACCAAAACAAGGCACATGAGAAGAATATGCATAGGTAGCAATGCTCCACCACCCAATTCTTTGTTGAGACGGTCACCCTACCCAGTATTTACCAGTTCCTTCAGCTGCGCTCGCCGTGGTTGAGACCATTCTTCCGGTTAACTCTGATGACGGGTTCGTACAACATAGCTAGACAATGCTGATGCACGTCAAGAGTCATGAATTGCGCGTCCTGTGCGGATCAACACGATCACCCCCGATGCGCTAAGTTAGTAGGTTAGCTCGTTGGTCGCATACCGCACGGTGTAGGTGAGACATTCAAAGACAATAAACATCATCAACAACATGACATGGCGGTTGAAGATGGAAAATCTTCCGACTCATTTCGCAATGACTCTATTCCACAATCTAGGCAATCTATTGCAATCTGCATTCAACTTCTGTTGATACACAAAGGGATAGTGGACCTCTAGTTGAAAAGTGCCGATCGACAATCCTGAGGCACGCTTCCTGATACATTATATGCTTCAGGTGAGGTGAATTGGTAGGGAAAGGCATGTGATGACAGATGATGAGCCATCAGGCAAACCCAGCCACCGATAGTCATTGTAAAGATTCATATTTACGACCTATATCCCGATGGGCAACAGTATATTCCTGAATAACTTAGTCCAGATGTTGCCCACTCACTTGCTGTATGATCTGGTTTCAATCTTCCTGCTTTGCTCATGACCACCCAACACTCAGATACCTCCTGTTTTCCTGCAAGCCCATGGCGACTGCAGCGCTTGGATGCACATGCAGTTCCCCAATGTAATTGATGAGTCGGCAATGTTCTGAACAAGTCTCTGCTATCTACTCCATATTTACAGTAGCATTCAATGTGTCCTTGCTACTCTTTATCAGCACCCATAAGCGATCCAACCTCGTTGTCTACCTTTCTATGGATGTGGGTGGCAACTAATTATACAATAGGAATGAGTCAGGCTGGTTAAGTGAACGACATGGACCAATAAAGTCAGCAGAGTTGACAATGAACGAGAAGAAGACCCTTGATATACCCTAGCAATAGTGATAAGCATATTATTAAGGTATGCATGTATTTACAAACTTACCTATTTACAGTAGCTTCAAGTTTTGTTACCCCATCTTGTCTGTAACTGGGGGCGGGCGGGACATTCTGTGAAACCTCGGCAGATCAAGCTTTGCCTCAGTGGCCGTTCCAAGGATCCAATCCAATTGAACGGGCTGGTTGTGTTTGAATTGGCGCCTTTGATTCTGTTAGTGGAGGCCTGCAGCGGAAGAGGCTCACCTCCCTAGGTAAGCTTTCAGGCCGATTACCTCACCGAAGAAGTTGATGAGGTAACCGAACCACACAAACGCCAAGCTATCGTCATCCTTCTCGACCTTCCCCTGTTGTAGAGAAGAGCATCAACTTCAAACAACATCACAGCTGTTTCAGTGCCTTGAAACTCACACTCGCGCGCGAACTGCATCAATGTCTCTTGCCCCTCTACGGATGCCGAGAGATCCTCTCTCAACATTAAAACATCAAAACCACCTGCAGGACCCATCAAGGGGATCTGGCTAAGCCCTCTCCGGAATAAGGGACCCCGTCGCGATGGGACCCTTCAGCTAAAGAGCCAAGGGCCCCAATCTCAAAGGGGCGCCAGGGTCTGTCTGTATGGATGCTGTGGCGGAGCCTCCAGCAAGCATGTGGGCGAATAGCTTTGATGCATTGGATCTAATCAATCTCTCTCCTCACCATATTCGAAATCTTTTTTCCTCGCTAGACTCGGAGAGGGGCCCCTGCTTTTAAGTCAATCTTTGTTGATGGTTGTTCATTATAGTATCGGAGTCCCTTTTGGCTAATCTTATCTCTCTTTCGTGAGGCGGGAGCTCGGAAAAACAACGTTTTGACTACCTACTAAACTAAGGCACGGCACCTACCTACCTAGTCGCAATTGTTTCTACTCGACGCTTCAAAACCCTGGCAATACTTCAAACCTGACTCGTTACACGTTTTATCTTATTTTTCTTCGCGATATATAATTGCGCCTCCTCCATCCTAACCACCCAATTCTCTCGCCAGTCGCTGCGAAAAAGCGACATCCATTGCGACAATGAGCTCTCCAAACACTCCCTCAAAACATGGTAGCCATGCTCAATTACGGCGCCCTTCTCTCCTCTCAAACGAGGATAGCCACAATCCTCTAGGCACGCGCAGTGGCGCCCTCCAGTCCCTCATCCGCAGCCGCTCTCACCAGAGCATACAGAGCTTGAGCAGTTCTGTTCCTGCGCATCCTCCCTCTTTCTGGATGGGACCTGATGATGAGGAGACTGGGCTGCTTCGCCACGACCATGACGAGCTTGGCAGGCTGCTCGCTGATGAGCGTCGCCTAACCCAACTGCTCCACGGGCCCCAGAACCGTAGTGCCAAACTCATTGGCAGAAGCAACCCTCGATATCGATGGGAGCAATACTGGAAGCCTGAGGAGGAGCTGGCTGCTATGTCCAAACCACTGTGAGTCTTCAATGGCGCCCACCAACTATGCGCCTCGGCCTTGTGCAGCAGCTAACCAAACACCTAGGCGCGAGTACTATGAGAGAACAAATGAGTTGATTCAGCAATATCTGTACATCGATGCTCTCCTCGACTCCGCTATTCCCCACGATCTTCTCAACGAGTACCAAGCAGAGCTTGAAGCCTCTGCATTCCGACCACTTGACGTCCCGGATACCATCAACGAGGAGCCCTCCACCACATCCGACTCCCCCCCTCTCACTGGATCAACTCCTGCATCCGCATCTATCACTCCAGGCTCCTATGGCACTGTCAGTGTCAAGGCTAGTAATTCGACCACAAAGCTCCCTGCTACTCGCACACCTCAAGACATCTTCCGTTCCTCCGAGAACTTGCCTCTCCTTCAGCATCAGGATCAATCCGAAGACGAGGACGAGGAGCAACCTCCGCTACCTGCTAGCCAAGAAGATGACAACGGCCCCAAGCCCTTGCTACCGTGGTTAGAGGATGCTGAAATCGACAGCGACGACCCCATCGTGACATTGGCCATCTGGGTCAATTTCGTCGCCAATGCCATTTTACTCGCTGGAAAGCTTGTTGTCATTGTCTCAGTCCCTTCAATGTCCGTCCTTGCCAGTTTGGTAGATGCTGTGCTTGATTTCCTCAGTACTGTCATCGTATGGATTACTACGCGTCTCATCTCGTCCAGTCATCAAGACCAATATAGCTATCCTGTTGGTCGCCGCAAGTAAGTCTCAGTCGCTGCCGTATAGATTGTGGCATTTCAAGTGAACAAAAGCTAACGTGTAGTAAGACTCGAACCACTTGGCGTCCTCGTCTTTTCCATCATCATGATCACATCTTTCTGCCAAGTCGGACTCGAGTGTATTTCTCGCCTCATGGATCCTGAGCATGCTATCCTTGAGTTGGGTATTCCAGCTATCGCCATCATGGTTTCTACCATCGTCATCAAGGGTGCCTGCTGGATCTGGTGCCGTGTCGTCAAGAACTCAAGTGTCAGAGCACTGTAAGTCGGCAAATTCATCCACATTCGTACTCCGAATCTGACCAAACCACAGGGCTGAGGATGCAAAGACGGATGTGATCTTCAACACTGGTTCCATCCTGTTCCCTATCAGTAAGTAATGATCGTATATCTTGTAAGGCCGAACCCTACTGATATTGGTTCTAGTTGGCTACTATGGGCGAATCTGGTGGCTTGATGCTGTCGGTGGCTTGTTCCTCTCGCTTGTTGTTATCTTCAACTGGAGTCAGACCTCGGCACACCACGTCCGTAACCTTTCAGGCTTCTCCGCCCAGCCTGACGAGCGAAACCTGCTGCTATACTTGACCATGCGCTTCGCCACTGCCATTCGTCAGATTCAAAATTTGCGCGCCTATCACGCTGGTGACAAACTCTTCGTCGAGGTCGATATTGTGCTTTCTGCAGCAACACCTCTCAAGGACAGTCATGATCTTAGCGAGGTGCTGACATACTTCCTCGAATCTGTGCCAATTGTTGACCGAGCATTCGTCCACGTTGATTACACTAGTTATAATGCCCCGACTCACATGCTCAAAGGATCTGCCGCAAAACAGAAATAAGGCCGAGTTGCAACAATACACCGAGGCCAGGCGGATAAGATTCTCCGCTTACATGGGAGACAAATGACTAGTCGCCAGAGATCTAAAAGGGCATTGCAATTACCCAAAGAGCTCGTGTGTATATAGAAGCGTATTCAAGCGCGGGGCAGTTTTGTGGGGGCGTCAAAGTCGTTTATGCAAAAATCTCAGTCGCTTTGGAAAGCGGAGCGATTGTACTATATATCTGTATCATCAAGAGTATTATCTCTTTAAAGAGTCGGAAAGGAAGACTAGATAAGCGCTATAATAAAATAACGAGAAAAAAGGAAAAGAAAACATCAAGACCTATTCACTACTGATCCTCCTCTTGTGCCATCCCCTAATAGGGGATGCCGTTAGTCAGAAGCTGGAACTGATCGTAGATACCTGTGCTGTGGCTCGAGTAACTGGTCTTGATGAGATGTTTCATGAAGTTGGCAGCGTCGCGCTCGCTCTTGTCAAGGACAAAACGCTCACGGAAATGCTTTACACTCTCAGGCTTGAAGCAGGGCAGCCCACTGTCCATCATGAGCCAGACGATCTGGCTGAGCTTCTCACAATACTGACGACTGGCCAGGAAAGCCTTTACGCAGAGCTCCTCGAAAGCCTTGAAACTCTGGTGCTCCATTGAACCACCCATGACCGCCACCATCTCGGTTGTGAGCTTGAAGGGCGCACGCTCGAACTTGATACCACCTGGGGCGATATCAAAGCAGAACCCGAAATCAATGTGTAGGATGTGGCCCGCGTCGTCAATCATGATGTTGCCATTGTGTCGATCCTTGAATTGCAACAAGTAGGAAATGACTGAGTAAGCAGCCATGGACTTGACGAAGTTGCTGCGGGCTCGCTGGAATCGGAGCGAGTTCTCATTGCCGTATTTGGAGATGAAGTAGTCATACAAACCATTGACAGCCTCACGACCAAGCATATCTCGTGAGATTGAGTTAGGCAGCACGTCGATGACACCACAACCAGGGGCAGTGGCAGTGACTCGATAAGGGAAGACGTAGACATCTAGGCCGACATCGTGGAATATGCCTCTGAACGCTGCAATCATCTGCAGCGCCAGGACGTCCTGTCGACAATCATCGCCGACCTTGAAAATGGCCGACTGCCAGACTTCAACAGTCCTCTCTGGTGTTCCATGATCTTCTCCGTCATTCTCCTCCATCATCTCATCCACCTCAGAAACGCCTCCTTTGTTCTTCTGAATACGGAATGTCGCCATATACGGAGCCTTGGCATGACTCTGTAGGGGCTTGCCAGACTTACGATCAATGCCAATAACAACACCATCAGGATTACTAGGAAGATAAACACCGACCTCAACTTTGATTTTGCGCAGCTCTTCTTCAATCTTTTGCTTCTTCTCCGGCTTCGACTTCTTAATGAAGGGTTTAAGCTTTCCAGAAATGTCAGTGACTTCGTCAAAGAAAGAAAACTCTTTCTCATAAAAGTCACGGTCTTCAGCGGCGAAACCGTCAACCATCTGTGTCATGACTGTGTCGAGAGTTGGTTTGATTTCGTCAGGGATCTGAGCATCATCGTCCTTGTACGAATTGGCCTTCATGTTCCAGATGATCTGGTGAGCGAACAGCTGGGAAAACTGTGCTGTTTCAAGGATATAGCGCTTGACATATCCAAGGCTATCGTAACGGAGAGACTGGACAATTTGGGGAACATAAAAGAATGTTACGTCGACAGAATGGCTTTCCAGCGCACGCATGGCGTACTGGATGATGAAAGGGTGCGACTGGTAGGCGGGTAGGAACATGGTAACGGCTGTTACGGGGTTCACAGGTTCCCAGTACAACAAATACTGCCGGAACGTTAGCATTGCAATATCAGTCAGGGTACGAAACCTACCTTGAGTTGTTGCGAAGCGACATCGTCGGGAAGAAATCCTCCAAAGATCAGGTGCAGAGCCTCAGGCTCAAAAATGGCCTTTTCAGGCATGGTGAGAAGCAAGAACCTGATATCGCGCTGCAGGCGAGGGAACGGAAATCTCGTGGCGAGTTCGATGGCAATAGCTGGGTCCTGCCACCATGCAGTCCTAATGAGCGGTAAGAGTGCAGCTTCGGTCGGTGCCTTGCCAGCATTTTGGGTCAATGCTTGATTGCTCGCATTGTTGAGTGGGTTTACCCAGACGATCAGACGCAGTTGTTCATTTCTGAGCAGGAGATCGAGCAGCTGCTCTTTAGACTGCAGAGACTTGACATTGCCGACAGTCTGGGCGCCTATAAAAGAGACCTGTTGGAGGGCCGCCAAGACATCAGAGATAAGACGAATCTCGGTCTTCATCTGCAATAAGTTACTTCCGAATGACCACTTGGGAGCAGACCTGAACCAAGACAGGCCAGCCGTAAGAAGTCGCTCCTTGAGCCTCCACTGCGCTGCAGGCTTGAGAGTGGTGCTGGAACGTAGGACGCGCAGACCAAATAAGACGATTTGGAATCGAATCTCTCTGGCCATTGGATGAGTTGCAGATTGCTTCATTGCCTCCAGTGTAAGATCAATCATCCGAAGGAACACCTTCTGGATATCAGGGCTACCGAGCCTGGTAGCATTATAATGACTGGCAAAGAATTGGAGCAGTCGAGTATGGGGCGAGAGAATGTCATGCACAATTTGCTTCTTCTTGGCTAGAGCCTCCAGTTCGCTGGGGGCAAATTCTTCCTTCAAAAAGAAGGGGTCAACATGATTCAGGGTTGGGCTGAAGAGGCCGAGCTTTCGCGTAAGAGAGAACTCCCATTGCTGGACGATCTCATTCAGCAGTCTCGACTCCTGTCTTGGGTTTTCATTGATTACACCAAGCCATAACGAGACACCCAGGTTTATGGATTGCTTGGTGAATAGGGCGAACGGAATGCTCACAAGGTGATGAGCAACAGCAGCTTCATCCTTGCTCGTGCGGCAAAGAAGTGCTGCTGCCCTACGAAGAATATCCCGGACTTCAGTGATGGACGTACTCTTCTTACTGAGAATTCTTGCCTCGATATGAGCGAGTGCAGTAGTGGCATTGGCACTCTCCTTCACAGATGACTGCACAAATGACAAGCGACGGTTGTGATTCATGAAGCTCATAAGTTCTGTACCACGATCCGGGAGCGTCTCGCCATACCGATATTCTTGGCGAGTTGTGTACTGCGCAACAAACGCAGAAGCTGTGTTGACACTCGAGTTGCCAATCTTGTCCATGGACTGGAGACGATTGTCTGTTGATGGAATAATTGATCCTAGCTCAAGAGCAAAAGACCTTCCCAAAGAGACATGGCCGTAAGCGCCTTCGTCACTGAACTCCGAGAGATATGTCTGCAGAATTCCCTTGACATCCAGAGGAGAGAGGTTGATGGCAGAGTTAACCCATACCCTGGCCTTGCGGTTGAGGATATCTACTGTCCACCTTCGAAAATCATAGTCGTCTGAAAGCTGCACAGTCACTCCGCCAAGCTCTGACGTAAAAGTAGACCTAGGAGCATAAACATCTGTCTCGGCTTCCAAGCAGCTTGACCACATGAGCGAGAGCAGTTCGATCAGTGCGAAGAGTGACGATCTATAGCAGAGGGCTGAAGGAATTTCTCGGAGGAAGCGATCTGCGCAAACAAACGCGGCTTGCTGGACTCGCTCGATACGATGGCAGCAGCTACAGAAGATAGTAGCGAGCTGCTCAGCAGCGTACTGGGCAGAAAAGGTTGGTTCGGCGCCGCTTTGTGTCTTTTGAATATACTTATCCATGACAGCAGCCGCAACACCCTCCATGGCGCTGCTCAGCTCTCCCTTGGACATGCTGGGTTCCAGGAAATAGGACAGAACATTGGTGCAATCACCTGAGTCGGCTCGAAGAATTTCCATCAGATAAGCTGCTTGCAAGAAGATCACCTTGCGATAGCTGAGGCTCCTAATCTCATTGGACTTGGAGGGTACAAGATCACTCAAAAGCTTCTTCTGCAGAGACTCTCTATCGTTGCTCATACCACGTCGTAAGACAGTATTAAGCTCAATGTCACTTTCGACCTGCTCACCTCGCTGCTCGGCCACAAGAGGTGGGGAGTGGATAGCAATCATACGTAATTCTCGCATATACTGCTTTCCACGGTCTGTGTTGGTGGTAAAGCCGTGAACCACGATGTTGAACCAAGCGTCTCGAAGCAGAGAATATGTCTCGTCATCAGCGATGGGTTCGAAAGCAAAATCATTCGTGGACATAAAGATTGCCAGCGGGTGAAGAAGTTCTGCGATCTCCTTTGCAGCCATTTGTACGTCAGATTCCTTGGTATGTCCAGACGAGTGTACATCACCAAGTCCGATGATGCTGTCAAGCAAGTGTTCAAAGTAGATACCAAACAGCTGCGAGTCACGTCGTAGATTGGCAGAAATGAAAGTGCGAGCATTTCTCACCTATACAAATCAGTAAGTGTCAAAGTATAGAACGTCATATTCACTTACAGCTTCCAAAAAGAACAGCTGGTTTTCAACAACCCCAGTATGGCACAGTTTACTAAACAGCTTGAGCAAAGAGCGAAACTCGAGTTGTCCGCCCTCGAGAGCCAGAGCAGCTGCTCCACTGATAATCCGGGCATCCACGCCTGTATTGACCTTTTCGAGCTTCTGCTGAAGCATAGACTGAGCCAGTGCGGTAATTTTCTCATCCTTGAAAGCGGAAGCAATTCCACAGATGGTTTGCACGACATTGCCAGAAACGATCGCAGTCTCCTCCTCGCCATACATCTGTAGGGAAATCGAGCTCCCAATGGACCGACGATTGGTATAAATGGCGTTAAGTCCTGTTTCACTTGCCGTTCCATCAATCTGATCGTTCACAAACGCTTGGTCCGACCCAGGGCTGAGTACGTTGCCCAGGGTATACAATGTGCCGATGACAGCATCCTTCGAGAGCATTTTGAGAGCATAAGCCAAGCTATTGGAAGCTATAGTGACAATATCTTTCTGTGGGGCATCCTGAACGATGAACCTAGGTAGGATGCGGCTAACATTAGACGAGAAGGATGGTGAGATCTGACAGATCAGGGCCAAACATCGCAACGTGACCGAGGCAAGAGTAGGATCGGCCATCTGAACAGAGTCATCCAGGGTTTCCTGAAGCCAGTTCATGAGAATCTCGGTATCAGCAGCATCTTCATTGAGCAGAGCGCAATTCAAGTAGGAAATGAGCGCCGCAGCCTTCACAGCGTAGGCGAGGCTCTGCTGGTCGGGAGATCCCATGCGGATGAAGTCAGCACCACCTTCGATATACTGGATCTCCTCAATGGCCAGGGCAGCATATTCCTCAACCGTCTTGAAGTCTGCTTCGAGCGCAGAGGACGCGATATTGCAAAGATCTTCACCTTGAGCAATGTAGATATCCAGCACGTGATACTCTCGCAGAGAACGAGGGTCTTTTACCATCAGTGAAGTGCTGGAGGCAATGAGGTGAGCGAAGCTTCGGTGCAAGAGCATAGCTCCGAGAGGTCGTCCAGACGAGGCATAGTGGCGCAGGTATCTCTTCCATTCTTTAACCTCGCGATCCTGGCTATGGCAGTTGCGTATGGTGGATAGTGCTGTTTCCACAACGATAAGGAAGGGCTCAGAGAGCAATTCTCTAATTTTCTTGATCATGGCCAGTCGACCGCCAGCTCTCCAGAAGTCGGCCTGAGCGGCTGCCGCATCCAGAAATCCGAGCAGTGCCACGGCAATTGTCACAGTTCGGATTGCATCCTCCAGGTGAGGATTCTCAGGGTCCCCTGCTTGAGGTGAGATAATGCTCTCGGTAGCTCGTCTACAAGAGTTCACGAAGGCCCAGATCTTATCGGTCACATTCTCCTGAAGCTCATCGTAATTGATGCCAAGTGCCAATAAGGCCCCTGTCACATGAAAGGCTAGAGCCTCGGTCGGGGACGGGTCGATCTTTCGGAAGAATGGCGAAGGAAGAAAAACCTGTATATGTGCTTCAAGAATATACGGGAACAGCTGATATGAGAGTCTCTGGGCGCTCTGGCTTGATTTGATTTTCGGTGCTGTCTTGCATAATGCGATCAAGACCTCGAACTCGCGAATAGACTACAATTGTCAATCACGCACTATCAGATCCCTATGCTCTATGAATAACCTACCATGGGCACTCGGCCTAGCGAGCTCTTATTCTGATAGCCATTGACATAGTCCTTGCTCTTCGCGCCGGCGTGGCAGGCCCTACATAGTCGGTCGAGATCGGATCGGTCGAAGGATGTTGTAGAGCTAGACGCAGATAGCGAAGCTATCTTCTGCAGCGCCTTGGAGCGAATGTCACCTATCATCCTTGGTGCGTGGGCGATGCGGTCGCTTCAAAGCATAGCAATTCGAAACAAAACACCAACAAGAACCAAATCGACAAATTTGTTTCCGAAGCAAGACCTTCAAAATGACGATGGTTGTTAGGTGAACTTTAGGAGGTGAACCCCTGTCAGTCTGTTTGCTTAGTCATCGTAGCTACCCCAGCTCTGCAGGTTAGGTAGGTGGGCAAGGCTGCAAGCTTGACGCGTGCGTCCGAACCTCAGCTCCATCGTCAGTGACAACTTAGGCAACGCCAGATCAACATCATCAATCACCAACTCCGAATTCCATCATCTCTGCGCATCGAGAAGGATCACCCAGCTCCTGCTTAGATCTCCGTCACATAGACCGTAATCATGGCTGCCATGTTCAGCCAGAACCCTTTGATGAATGGGCCCAACTATTCGTTCTCCGATGCCCCCAAGACCAACAGCGGCGAATTTCGAGAACATCGATTTAACCCGTGAGACACCTCAACTATGCATCTCCAGGGCTTACAGCTAACTGATACAAGCTACACCGATAATGGTGGCTCGACTCTTGCCATTGCTGGCGCAGACTTTACCATCATGGCTGGTGACACCCGCCACACTAGCGGTTATAGCATCAACTCTCGCATGTCCCCCAAGGTCTTCCGAATCGGCGGTACCACTGCCTCCCAGGAGGATGCTACACTAGTCCTATCTGTCGTCGGCTTCGCTGCTGACGGTGAGGCCCTCCGTGACCACCTCGACACCATCTGCAAGATCTATCGTTACCGCCACGGCAAGCCTATGACTGTCAATGCTTGTGCCAAACGCCTCTCTACCGTTCTCTACTCGAAGCGATTCTTCCCCTACTACTCGCATGCGATGCTCGGCGGTCTGGATGAGGAGGGCAGAGGCGCTGTGTACTCATACGATCCCGTGGGGAGCTATGAGCGAGAGCAGTGCCGAGCAGGCGGTGCTGCGGGCAGTCTGATCATGCCTTTCCTGGACAACCAGGTCAACTTCAAGAACCAATATATTCCCGGAAGCGGAGAAGGCCATGAGCTGAAGGAGCGGGAGCGACGTCCTCTTACGCGAACAGAGGTCGAGACTGTCGTCAAGGATGCATTCGATGGTGCGGTGGAGCGTCACATTGAGGTTGGTGATAACCTTCAAATGCTCATCATCACAGCAGACGGTATTGAGGAGACCTTTTTGCCCTTGAAGAAGGATTAGGTGGGAGGAAAGGCGAAAGAGGAATGTATAACAGGGGATTACTTAGACGCCACGAAATCAATGAGCCTTGTTTACGGTCAACTGCGGGGCATAATTGTGGTGTGATGAATATGAATATGATACCGAGTCGCTTCAACGACAAAAGAGAATGTCACGCTCCGCGAATTGCAAACTAACAGATTGCCTGTGAGGCAGGATGCAAAGGTCTTACTTAACTTGGGATTAGGTTTTATATACTACTGTCGGCGGCACTGAGCTCTGCAGACCGCACATACCTGCTATGCACGGGGAATGAGGAAGATTTTCCAACACCACTGAAGCCATCGTGTTCGGTCAAATATTCACAGAGATCACGGGCACCTAGATCATGTACTGGCACTATGTGACTGAAGTTCAATTACCTGACTTGAGGTGTTAGCTAAAGGTATGTGAATTCAATTTACCTTAGATTTGTTCCAATTGGCCTTCGCTTCCAACTGCCCGACATCTAACTTGCTGCGTTGGTAGCATGGACAACGAGCTATGGTATGACGGCGATTTGACCTTATAATCAAGGTGCGAAGCACTTGTACCGGCATACTCAAATTACACTTTGATCATTGAAAGGTTCAACGGACATGCCAATACTCGAGCGTCCTATCAGCATACTCAACCACTGGTTGAGACCGTCCTGAAAGAAATGAACGATTCTCTTCATTGGGCAACTGTGCTTATTTGTGAATGAGTTATCAGCTGTAACACAGCTATTCACCCTCACAACTCTTGGGTGGCATTTCGTAAGTCTGACATGGCCATGTATTACTTTTCTGCCTTTTGGTTGTACTTTGAGTGTGGACAAGTAGCGTTGCTAATCAGTCTAATTAGAGATGGAATGGCATCGGCACACGGCATTCGAGAGACCCATGTCGAGCTGAGCTCTAATCACTCAACATTGATCATCTCAAGAGACACCTAACATTAGTCCGCGGATAGAGTTACATCCGGGAGAGTGAAACACCACTTTCACTTCTAAGAGCGCGTCTAGACTCTTCTGGAGCGCCTCTATCGCACCACAAGCGCGGCAAATGGCAACACCACGTTGGTTCATTAGACTCAAGCGCTTGTTACTTTTCCTGCGCCCGATAGCCATCAAAGCACGGTCCGGTTATTTGCTAACAAAGATTTCTTTCTGATGGTGATCAGAGTCAGATGCTAAACATGGAGCCAATACCGTGGCAGTCTAACACCACCATGCTATTTCTCTAGCCACCGATGCAGGTATCAGATCACAAGAGAGGACTTATCATAGTTAGCTCATCCAATTACTCGTCTACTCAGTCTCTATCCCGAGGACGCTTGCAGCCCTGCCCTACCCTGCCCTGCCCACACCGGCCGGTCAAGTCTAATGTCTCTTTCTTAGCCTATCAAAGTCCACTACACACTTAACAGCTCTGATAGGTGAGGCAAGACCTGGTTGCAGTAGTATAGGGTTGTTCAAGGCCTAATGACTGGCTGAACATCGTTGCGGTGATCCGCCCTTTGCCTCAATGGCTGTGTGTACAGAGATCCATCGAGATATGCCAGCTAAGCAATGCCCCGATGCAGGGAGGGTGTGGACAGGGTCTATTTTTTCCGTGCTCTGCAAGATACTGTATCTCAATATCGTTTGGAGGCGTCAGTGTCTCGCTAACACAACCGATGTAGTGGCGTCTGCTCCATCGCACAATATGCATGACCCTAAGTAAAAGTTGAAAGACATGATACACTGCCATTACAGCAGCCGGACACCACACCTCGTACACACACCAGGAATATCAAGCCTTGGAGCTTGAGCATCTCTCGAGGTGCTATATTCTGACGAGTCGCCTTTTCAGCTGGCCAGGGGCTAGCTATCCTTGCTTTGGACTGGTATTGGTGCAGCCGGGGAAAAAATGAAATTAAGACATGATAGCCCATGTACTAAGAGTATCATGCAGTAGTGATCACACTTCTGTTGGGTGGTGAGCAGGCAAGCAGTTCACCTGGTGTGTGTGTTCAGTGAATTATCCTTTCGAGCCTTTCGATATGCATTGTAGATATCCCGTACAAGCCAATTTCGTTTGCCCTCTCTTCAATAGAATGAGAGTTCTGCATCCGGACCTGTTCAGGCTACTGGGGTCTCTGATGCTATCTTCGAGGTACAGATATTGAAAGGCATGTTTGTTGTGCAAAGCTGGACCAGGTACCCAACGAATTTGAGTTAATAAGCAGCTTCTACTCAAAGAATTATTCCAAGGCTGTCGATATGCACAACCGCCGCCCTAAGTTGGTGGCAAGCTTTTGATTACATCGGAGGAATGACTATCCTTAGACAGGACTTCTAGCAATATCTGTTCCTCGCAAGATAGACTAATGGATGCGCGTACTCGTCTGAAGAAACGTCCTGGTCTATTCGCCACCTAAGCCTACGTAGCTTCCAATAATCAAGTGTTGTCCTCCGTGTCTCATAAGGCCTAGGAATTGTGTTTAGCCATGCATGTCGTTGAATCGAGGCTGGCGGCTGGCGGCTAGCTAACATGAGCGAATGTTGTGTGGCTGACAGCAACTCGCTGCTGAAAGTCTACAGGACTTGGAACGCAATTCGATCATGGTCTTATTTCCGCACTTGGGCCGGGACTGCTCAGGTTTCTTGGTTCAGTTATGGTCTAGCTTTTCTTCCAAGTTTTGTCAAACTCTTCCATCCTTGGACATGGAACTTGCCGTCATCGGAGAAATCAGAAAGGCGTCTTGTCGATCGGCGAGCAGACATTCCTACATACAATGATGCCCACTGCCCAAGTGTTGAGGAATGATCAGTTGCTATTATTGCAGGGATTTTCCGGCATTTGATGGTCCAGTTGGTGTCGGCAGATGACAACTGTAGCGGTTCAAAAGCGCTACAACAATTGGATCTAATCAAAACGGCACCGAACTCAAATGCTGACGACTTACATACATGCACAACCGTTACCGTCGGTTGACATTTGCCACCTCTAATCGTCAAAGCTGAGGCATGTGATAGGGAGTGGTAGCGCAATACACTCATTTTTTCTCAAGTGTCCATAGGTACTAAGACAGAACTGAAAACGGTGGGAGTTACATAAGGTAGCGGTCCGTTCTCAAGACACTATCTACCTACCTAGGTATCTACCTACTAACCCATGCAGGGTGCAACGCATTTGCCACATTGGAGGGAGCTGTCAGAGCCTTCTTTCTTCATCAACAACAGCCTTGCACAAGTTTCTTGATAGCCCACGTTCAGTGAAGTTGGCGTCGGGGTCCTCGGCTCCTCAGCCCTCAAATCAAGAGTGTTCACAGCGGGTTACGCATCGGCACACAGCTTCAAGAAGGATGATCAATGCTGATAATCGTTTCACAAGCCACAATGACCCTTGCTGCGGACCTCCCGACACCAGTGAAGACGGCCAATTGCTGTTTTGGTCGCGCCATCGGCGAATACTACCTATAACTGTAAGGCATGTAAACGGAGCACCGTCGTCATGGCGTCACTGACTATTGTGCAACAAGAGGTAAGATGGGCATTGGATGCGCCTAAAGTAGTCAAGATCAACGATAAAGGTTCTGGACCCTGGTTGACAGGCGGGTGGCGAATGCGTCAGGCAAGCAGGCAACAGTCGTCGACAGGCGCCGCTCTATCTGAGGGCCCAATAACCTTGATTGCGGGTCATGATTGCACCACAACTTGGAGGCTTTCCACATTTATTTTTGGTGCAGATTTCTGACACACAATTGCCGTACGTCGCTGACTCTTTGTTTAGCTGATCATACACGACATCTCCGCCCTCTAGACGAACACGCAAATTCAGCATCAAGTATTCTTGTTAAGAACCAACGGAGCATTTCATCCGCCAACCTTAATTAGGTCCGGGTTTTGATTCGCTACCTAGGTGGCGTCCCAGGAACCCCATCAAGGGTCCAGCTAAACACACAGCGGTGGTAGGGCGCGCACATGTCGTTAGTCCAAAAAGCCGTCGTACGACCGGGAGCTCGGAACACTGGCCGAAGAGCAATGGCCGGCTTCTGGTAGCTGATGGAGCCAGTGTTGATGTTGAACAGTTTACTAGCCGTTTTGGCTTCCATAGTATTGAGGATGTGAGGCGCTCAATTTCGAACTCTGGAATTGACCACGAAGTTTTCTAGCAGGAGGAGTTTACCTATCTACCTATGACTTGTGTTTGATCCAGGATCGTGAAGTGGGATGGTCGATCATCCACTTACGGCTGTCCTGAGGTCCCTAGACAGGCCCAAGAACAGCCATGAGATTACCCAAGTTGTCAGGACCATGCGAATGTCTCCAATAAGACGCTAGTGTCACGGGAGGCTGGTCGCCCCGGCGCACTAGTTGAGAAAAGTTGGTGGGTGATGGAGAATTAAGAAAACGGGATAGATCGACATCCACGAAAAGGACTGTTGGAACATGACATTTGTTGTTACTTACGCAACTGATTGGAAGCTCAGAGGCGACAAGGATTTCGCCTAGGAACGTCACTTCACTACATACCATACCCACTGCCTCCATATTGCTGTCGGGCTGTGACGTCGCGATTTTCAGGTACTGTCTTTTGGTCTTGCGAATGGCAAGGGAATTGGTATTTACATAGCAAAGCTAAGCTATCCATGTCAGCCATTGATCAAGAGCTACCTGGGGCCCCAAGCAAAGAATTGTCAGCCGAACGCTCGGATCTGAGGGGAAACTGTGGTTCTGGCAGGATATCTACTAAGTCCAGAAATCCAAGCTCAGACGAGAGTGCAAATTGTAACCTGCTCAGTCATCAAGATCAGCGAATCATTCATTATACAGCATGCGTAAGACTCTGCCATGAAAAGTGCCCACGGCTAGTGGGTTCGTGTCCTCTCTCGTGCAAGCAGAAGCGAATGCCGGCGTGGAGCTTTTTAGGTCCAAGACAGTAGACCGGGCTAGGCCCTTCGGCCCTCAGGAGTGGTTCGAAGCCCCGTCGAGGATGGCCTAACTTCAGTGTTGC